GAGAGAGAGAGAGAGAGAGAGAGAGAGAGAGGTCTGAGTAGATATTTTTAGCAGTCTGGCTTTGAGCTCGTTGTTCTAGAGAGCTGGATCACGAGGGTCATCACATTGAAGTAGGGAAACCTTTCCAAACTTTTTTGAAGATAAATATTGTATGTTTGTTACTCTCTTTTCCGACGGAGAACGCGTGCATGCATTGTTAAAGTGTACGAAATGCATTGTGAAAGTGTATCAAGCTCTAAACCCAGTGAAGTTGCCATGTTAGGAGTGCCCCTGTGTGTTCTGTTTTCTGCTCGAAAGCCTCGAAGAGGAAAAATCCAAAAAAAAAAAAAAAGGGAATTAATGTAATGATTGTTTTATACTAATTTTATAGCTTTTAATTTTTAAATTTTAATAGCCTTTTATCCATCTTTGAGAGGCAGATAGTCTCCCCTTTTTGCTTCCCTCCTATTCTGTGTTTTCCTCCCCCAAGCCCAAGAATCCAAGATAAATTAAAGACTTTTTTTCCCAAGAATCCGAGATAAATTAAGTCTTGATTTTGCTTTTCAGAGGTTTACTTTGTAGTAAAAAAAGAAAAGATGGTTCCCGGCAAGCGACCGGAAATGTTTAGCAAAGTGTGAAGTGCCTTGTCGCAGCGGACTGTTTGCATTTGTGTGATGGGTGTGGGGTGGGGTGAAGGGGTGGAGGGCGAGGGGTGAGGAAGGGGGGGGGGGGGGGGGGGGGGGGGGGGGGGGGGGGGGGGGGGGGGGGGGGGGGGGGGTTGTAGATGGGTGCAGTGGGGTGGGGCCTTGCTCGGCAGCAGTGTGGTGGACTGAGCATGTTTGTCATTTTGGCAGAGGGAACTTCTCGGGTCTTCAAAAAAGAAAAAGAAAAGAAGAGAAAAAAAAGAATGGACAAGGGGGCTCATTCTACAGATGCCTATGGTGTTCGTTACACCAAGCACAAGAGGGACTGCTTTTCTCTTTGCGCCTCACAATGGTACATGCGCATGCACGCAAGAGAGATAGATAGATAGATAGATAGATAGATAGATAGATAGATAGATAGAGAGAGAGTCTTGATTGGTAAGGCGCAAGTGAATTCATACAAGGGCGGAGTTCAGAATCTGACTTCTTTTTTTTTTTTTTTTTTTCGAAGAATCGCCTCTGCGGAAGCCCCTTAGTCTTTTGGTGGTGAGAGAACCGTCAAGATAAAGGGCTTATCTGTCGGGCTGCTCCATCTATTGGTGGGGAGCGGCACCTGCTGGAAACCGGGTCCAGCATCCCTTTGTACATCTTGAAATACAAAG